ATATTAGTACATGAACATCGAAAACTGAAGTATATTTTTAGTATGCGTTGTAAGCGGAAGGGAATGGAAGGGAATCGTTAGCAGGGTTGTCACATGACGGTATCAAACAAAGGAAAATACAATAATACGGATAAGATTTTTAAGCAAATATAATAAGGATATGCCATTTTTGTATATTGCCTTTCTGTATCTGTAAAACAAAACCATCGAGTTCGAAAAATAAATATCCCACTATTTAATAATACTGGCTGAAAACTTTAATATCAAAGATTAGCTTCTCAGCAACAGAGCATCTTAAATCAAAGGAAGACCCTGAAATTTAACATTCAATTGAAAATGTGCCGGTGAAGGAAGGAAAATGTTTGTAAAGAAACATGGTTGATCTGTGATTGGTATGAGTTGGGTAATCTCTATCTGAGAATTTATATTTCGTTGCTCTGCTCTCTTGGATTATTGTCCATGTGTCGTAAATTTTGCATCTATTTCCACGGAAATGTACCATTGTGCATTATTATGTGGCGGGTAGCCATCTTACAATACCTATATTTGACAGATGCCTGAATCTCGCTTACGACATTTTCAAGATAAGCTTGCATATATACAAGTTCCGAACAACCACATTTAGACCGTTGGTCTACCGAGAAATATCATCCGCTCGGTGGAAGATCTTTCCTTTCGTCGTTTAAGCATCCTTTACAATTACTTTGATTTTTACTACCACTTCCTTAACTTTCATTTGAATATTGATGTCTATCATCAGTGCTATTATTGCTGCACACACGGTTTATAGGTTCCTATCCTGACACGGGTCTAAATTTGACTATTTCTCCTGGATATTTCTCATGTTTCTCGTCAAATCTATCTTGGCGTCAATCAATGTGAATGCCGTATTAGCTTTGAGACGTGAAGTTTGAACAATTTTACTTGCTCGACATTGTGGATCGGTTTAATTTGAATTTCCAAATAATAATCTGGTCGGATCAGTATTCTTTTTGATAAGTTGCCAAACTTTTCATTACTATGATGGTTGGGTACCCAAGGCAGTTCGATATATTCGCATCATCCAGACCTGTTTGAAATTCGAATTAAATCTTGTATTAATCCAAACTTGACTATGTGTCAATATTATATTTCATCGGAACTTTGCATTTCTTTGCTTAACCGGATTAAATGGTTTTATTTCGGCATTAAAAATCTTTTTAACCAATCTGATGGGAATTTATGGTCAGTTACTTTCATGTAACATATAAATGGGCTGTATTGTAAGTCATTACAGTATTCTTATCATCTGTTTAGTAGTCTCTAGTATCAACCTTCTGTTTAGTACCAGTCCACTAGCGTTTCATACTATTATTGATCGAAGATATGCCACCTAATTGTAAAATTACCTTCCTAGTTGACACGTTTTTCACTATAGGTACTTAATGGTATGAGATTCAATAAAGAATCCATAGTAATCTTTGTAGTTTTTTTAAAAAAACTCCCGTTTTGGATATGCAAACCATACTTATCGTAACTCTAGTTTTCAAGAAAAGAATTTGTTGATTTAGGATTCTGTCCGACATCTATACATATTATCATGATGTCCGTGGTGTTTTCACATTTTAAGAGTATGTACTGCTGAATTACTATCCTATTTTTGTTTTTGTCGCAAATTAAAGATGAATGAATGGTAAGTTTCGAGATAATTCTTTTATTTAGACTGCCATGTAGCTTAAAAGTAATAAAGAATCAGTAGGTATCTAAGAAACTGGATACGTTCCTTTTCGATAGTTTATTTAAAGTTTTGAAATTATTAAAACAAAAAATGTTTGATTTCACTAGAACTTCTTGAGTAATTATGTAAGGTGGTTTTATAAAACTTTAGGATCGGTCCAGGTACATTAAAACATTCGGAACTCTGTTGCGAGTTAATGTGTATTATCTATGCGATACTTCTCGCATACAATGCTACCAGGACTTTTTGGCGGGAACGCGAGGAGTGAAGTTGTGTGATTTGTTTTATTTTGTCTATTTAGTGTTTCTTCGGGTTTAAATGTGTAATAATGGTGGTTTATTAACTGTTTAATATCTGTGAAAGTGCACAAATGTGAGAAAATGAAACAAAGCCGCTGGACGTAACTTCTCGGGATCCTCCAAAAAGTCCACTGAAAAAATCTTAGTAAATGACCACCATTTTACTGAGATTATATTTCATCCCATTTCATTTCATTTAATTTCATCCCAGTTGATTAATGTCTCAAATTAATCGTCTTCATTTCATTTCACTCCATAATATAATTTTTCATAAAAATATTAATATAAATTAAAGGTCTCAGTTACCAGGTCATAAAATCCCTTAAAAATACAATGCTACCATGATCGCTCGCAAACTCAATTACACTTTTTTATTTTTGAGATTTTAAGCAAGGTTTTCCCATTACGATGGAAGGTTTTGTTTTAGATCTCAAATGAACACAAAACACAAACATAGTTCAGTTTTTAAATGTAATATTTATTAATGATCTCTTAGCTTAAGACACATTTAATAAAATTATCATAACATTTCCAAACACTTCATTAACATTACTAGTCTGATACACCTCGCCTCTAACATCAATTATATTTTAATATAAAAAAAAACTATTAATGAAATAATCAGTCTAAATTAAATATTTCTGTGATTAATCTTGGTAATTGCAGGGTTTTACCTAAGCCAAGGACTTCATTTGATAGTATATTTAGCTATCTACAGTTAATTGAATGAATTATTTAAAATAATCTTACTACAATTTTGATACTATTACATAAATTTTAAACATCACAATATTACAAGTATGTTATAAAAGAATTTTAATTTGCGAGTCACAATTCAAACGTTTTTCAATGTTGTTAAATATTTTCAAATGACAAATTAAGAAATCATTGATTTAATTGTTATTTTAATGAAGATCAACGTAAACAATCATAATTCTCTTGATTATTGTACTTGATACAAATTAAAATAGAGGCTCGGTAATATAATTTATTCACTATGTATCTCACAATCTCTACAGACAGAAATTCAGTAAGCAACGTTCGTATTTACCTTACGAATATGTATCAACATTTATCGAACGTTGCTTAAAGAATGAAATTACAATGAAATAACTACTTAAATATTACATTTATGTGCGTTTTTTAATTTAATTTTTTTTTTATTTATTTTATTATATCAATTTTTGTAAAATACTTTTGGTTGTAATTCCGTTTCTCGTAAACAACTAATGAACGAATACTAAGTAACATCTTATAGCTCATAAATTTCACATTTCTTAATGTCAACGTCTGATAGACGACAGCCGTGTGCACAAGCGCTTAATTTAAATTTTATCATACAATACATTAGTAATTACTCAACGATAAATACAAATCGATCAAATAAGAACAAATTATCTACGCCTCACATCAACATACGAGGTAATCTCTCTACTAACGTTTAAACTATTAAAACTCCATCCGTAATGGCCAATAGAAAATGGAATAATTTTCGTCCAAAGCGTTTTTTTACAAGCACAATGTCCAAACAAGTTGGTTGGGGAAACTAGCACGAATACGACACACAGGCTAGGCTAATATCACAGGAGTGCTGAGAACGGTAGACATGCGTAGTTCCGGACCGAAATAGTTCCTGGAACTATGTCCTCATATGGAACTATATCATTCAATCCGAGTTGTCAAAATTAACATGTTCAGACAGTTCCATTTCCATTCCAAGTGTACTGTTATGCAGGAACTACGAACGCGTTGAACATGACGGACATGCGGACATGATTAGAGCATAGGTATCGCGCGGCGNGCAGGAACTACGAACGCGTTGAACATGACGGACATGCGGACATGATTAGAGCATAGGTATCGCGCGGCGCGGAGGCGTGGCGCGGCGAGTCCACCCGAATGAGTCCCGAAGCGACACGAGTCCACGTAAAGAGATAAGGCGAAATATGGCGCTAATACGAGGGAGTGAGATGGAGCGAGTGCATGCAACTGCGTGTGGAGTTCTTTCACATTACATTTTTATGAATATTGATGTTATGTTCTACGACCTACGTGTTACAGTCGATAGTTGAATGAATTAAAATGTTTTGCTTAGGATTTTGACCTTGACCATGCATCATTCTTACGAGCACTTTACCTTAAGTGTTTGTAGACCATTTCTTAGAAAATCATAATAAAAAATTAGAGAATTTTAAAACATTCACCACTTTCGCTAGTTTTGTTAGCTACATTACGTAATGAAAATAAAATATATTGTTATTTCGGTTATGGGAAAAAGGTTGTAAAGCTAAAACGAGCTCAATATGTTGTATATCAGAATAACGTGGTATTTTAATTGACAATTGATAGGTTATAGTTTCCGGTGCATCGTACAATACATTGAAAAATAATGAAAGTAGTAGAGTAATTGAAATTATGACAAAGTGGAATAGTACATTAATAAATTATGAAACAAACTAACAATGAACCTAAAATTAAAAACCTTACAAAATAATAATTATAGTAATAATTGCAATCAGCGGCAATTTATTTTTATAGTGTTTTTAAAAAATTGTATTATAATACCTTTTTTGAAAAATATTGTGTAATTAATGATAATTTAATACGTGATTCGCTACACTACAAACAGCTACTAGACTTAACATGTCCGTGGAACTAAACGGCTACAAACAGCTACCAGACTTAATATGTCCGCGGAACTGAGCAACTACAAACAGCTATAGTAACCGGCAAACTTCGTGAGCAAATGACCTTGACTGCGCAGAACCGAATTTTAGATCACTTTGGTGGTGAGGGTGAGGCGCGACGGCAGGGGAAATCGTATCGAGCGCGTTATTGGTAGAATCTGGTAGATCAGTCGAACCTTGCGTCCCGCACCGCGCCTTCGTTCCGCTTGCTCCCAAAGGTACGCTTGCGTACAGTGAAAAGTCTATTAATATTAATCGTTGAAGTTATTTGTTATAATTATTATTGTTTGNGCGAATCCATCCACCTATTTACTATTCAGAGGGGGCGAATCGGGCTACAACCGATATATTTTGCAACAATTAAGATTCCTAAAGAAATGGAACTCGGCACAAGTCAATTGCACAGTCAAACGTCCAATCGCTCTAGTTATTGCACAACCATCTGATAAGTAGGCTCTTTGCATACAATGTGATGCTCACAAACTTTGATTAAATTCCAAACTAAATTATAAATCACAATGAATTAAATTTGAAATTAATTATTCATTAACGAAAAAAACATAAAAAAAAAAACATTTAGAAAAGATAACCTGATAGCCATAATGAGTTTGATTTATGTATTGTAAATTAATTTTATAATAATAATAGAGGTAACAATGCTTGAGGTAAGCACTCAAAAGGTAACATTAAAACAAAACAAAAAAAAAAACGAACACGTCATAAAATTTTGAAAACCAAATGCAGTATTTGTTAGAGGCACGTTTGCATCAAATATCCAGAACGTCCAATGGTTGGCCAAACGTGGACCGAATCACACAAAGCTGGTGACACACGCCAAGTGTTTGATAAGGAAACCACCGCCCCATCGACTAACCAGTTCTAATAATTTGCCTTTGTGTTTGTAAAGAATTTAAATTGCTCGAGTGTATGTGTTACGCACGAAGTTAAGCAAGTCTGTGCTCTCATTGTTCTTTTCAAAACACGTTCAGCTCAAACTAAATTATGTACTGATTATTGACAGCTAAAGTGATGTACCGAATTAGTAATACTTTGATTTTTTTTTTCTCTTCTTTGTCACAATAATAAGAGTTGGAACGCAGCATTTTCAAAGTGAACATTACGCCGATTTGACCCACTGCAAGTATCAACTTTTACTCTCCTAAAACCAGTTCTAATGGTCTCACACGAGGCGTCACAAGACAACGCGGACGATTTAAAATAAAGTAATGCGAGGAATCATCTGTCATCGCAACCGTTCCCAGTCGTTTTTTTGCACTATCACTTAACTCTACTTCTTTACAGTACAATAATATAACATAATAAATTTTCCTTATATCTAAAACATCTCCAATCAACGCTGAAAGTCCTCTCCTCTCGAGGCGACATTTCTCGATTGCCTTTTTGCGGTTTCAACTAGTCAAAGTTCCTTCGATAAAAAAAATAATCGTTGAACACTAATTGGACCGCGCACGTCGGCAGCGCCTGAGCAACTTTCACTAGTCATAAAATAAAAAACACGCCAACATAGTAAGTACTCTTTTTGAACAATAAAGAATTGACTAAACGTCTGTACGAAACGTACTAAGAGTCCGAGTAATCGCGTTCAGCGTGGAGAGCCGCTGGTCTCATTCGGCGCGCTCACAGCACATGGGGGCGTGCAGGTTCGCAGCGCGGCGCGGTCATGAGTCGAGCACGGTGAGCAGGCCCGGCGGCAGCTGCAGCGACACGTCCTGCCGCGCCAGCTGAGCGCACCCCAGGTTAGCATCGCCGAGCTCAGGAATCGCGTCTAGTAGCGCCAGACACTCGTCTTCTACGGCTCGTCTGGCCCTTTTCCCTACCCACGAGTCATCACACTCCTCGCGCGCGCGCCTTCGCCTCGCTTCCTTCTCTCTGCGCGCCTCCTCGCTCAACCGGCAGTAGGTGTTGTTGATACAGACGGACCTGCGCAGATCACGAGCCGGATCTTCGATGTTCTCCAACTTTTGAGAGCAGATCTCGATGACTCGTTTGCGTTCTTCGTTCGCTCGTAGTCGCGCCGAGATCATGGACAACTTGGGCCGGGCGGCTGGCTCCGTCCGCGGTGGACCGAACATGTCGTCTTCGAAGGCGTCGGCGATCTCGACCCCGCGCGCGCTCTCCCGCTCCTCTTGCGGCGTCATTCTGTAACAAATACACGAGCACATTAGCGTCTATTAGCGATTCGTAAATCTTTATATTGGGTACAAAATTAGAACACACGAACAGCACGGTACCGCGGAGACGATTCGATCGATGAGAGTCGATGGACTACATAACGCTTCATTTTCCCGAGACGTAGTTAATTTATAAATATATTTTATTATTATTTAAGCGGAGATACAAGGCGATTAATCCAAGGAGACGGCCTAATTATTTTATAATGGCACGCAGTAGGTCAAGCTGAGAGAACAATGCATCGAAGCCCGAACTGGCAGATCGGGTTCGCAACTAGTTATGATCCGCTCTACGTCCGCAATAACATCAAACGCAGATTTACTTGTCGAAGTGCCGACCGATAAACAGTGAACGTTATAGCACCTTGAAGTATCGTTTTATGAACACCCACCTGAAAGATAAATCAGGCGTTATGATGAAGAATCCTGACATAAACATTATAATCGATACGCGGCGACCTTATTAACTTTTCGAGCGTCAGCTAAAATCGCTAAATTCACAACACTGGCACTGCACCGACGCGCGACTCGTCACTATGTCCTCGGTTGTGTAAAAAGTAAAAAGACAGAAGCGATTCGAAAATACATCAGGCGGTGAACGGCGTCCGCGCAACTCGATGTACACCCGCCGAATGACAACATACCTCGCTGTAGATAAGACATTGAAAAAGCCAATTGCGTCATGTACAACTACGTACGTGGAGAGGAAACGAATGACGTAGTGAAATCCGTCATTTTAGACGCGGCCCGCTGACCAGTCACCCGTTGCTGTTAATTTGTTCGCCAGACAAAGACTCCGACAATCAACAACAGCCTCAACTAAGGACTTATCAAGTTAATAACAAAAACCTGGGGCATTCCCGTTGTCTTGGGTATTTGTTTGTTCATAATATGTTTATTACATAACATTTAAATGACTAATGAGGATGTCTAGGTTTTCTCATAACGCGGTGTTTGAGTGGTCCGAAAAGCTCTTTCACAAGTGCCCATTCTTCGAGATAACAAGATTTTAGAGGACACTACAGGTTTAACAATGCGCCGCGACCTTTGCAGTTGCTTGTGTTATAGTATGCGTAAAGTTTTATCAAAGACAACATTCTCGAAATAATAAGATTTGTAAATTCTGGACCAAAAACGAAAAAAGAAGATCGTTTGGATATATTTTTCAGTGTTCATAAATTTCCTCGAGAGATTTTTCCTCCTTTATGTACTCTCAATAAAAAATCGCGTCTAACAACATAAAGTTATGTAATTAAGTTTTATTCTCAACTTTGTTAGAAAAAACGAAAAAAAAAAGTAAAAAAATTTAATAGAAATTAAGCTCTGAAATATTTAATACCCGAAAACGGAGAACTTCGCCCCTGCAAAGGAAAATCTAAAGTGGATAGAGCAACAAATCATAAAAAGTGGACTTTTTACCGAGAACGCACCTTCACAATCTTATTATCGAAAATACGTTAGTAAGTACGTGTTTTTGTTTCGTAATAGCTGTTTGCTTCCTTTTGAATTCTATCCTGTATTAAATGTTTGATTACTGAAAATATCGGGGTTACGTGAGAAGTTTTTTTTTTTGTTAATGATTTCTCTAAACCGTCCAAAACACATTTAAATAATTGAATAACTATTCAAGTAACTGGGTAATATTGCTAATTTTCGATGTGAATAATATTTACCTACCTCCTTAAAGGTACATTATCTTTTAATGGCGTATTTTATCGTGTAATCAATGTCTTATTTATAGTTCGTAATTACAAATAAAACACGACAAAGGTTAACAACTGTCACATTCAAAAGCTGCGTCTTCACAGACGTGATAGATAAGCAGTCGTTTTCGTGTATATTTAAATGTGTTTTTGAGTTGAACGTGCCGGGCTGGGTGTTGCTTGTAGGGTTGCCACCCGTACTTTATAATAAAGTATTGTACGTTATTTCGGGTAACTGTACTCTATACTACTTTATGTGAGCAATAAAGTACACGAAAATACTTTATTTGGCATGATTTGTTTTTTTTTGGGATTTTGAGAAGTTTAGTCATATGTATTTTTTTGTTAAGCGCAATACGTCGATTGTTCAATCGATGTCGCCACTCGCCAACACCACATCAACTAAGCACTCGTTTTTTTAACAAATATTTCTGAACGCAACTTAACCTCAGATGTCAACAACGTCACTGTCATTAATTGTCACAATTTCGGGCTTAATTAGTTCAGTTGTAATATTATAAAAAAATATGTATTTAAACATAATAATAATAAAAAATAAATTATAATTTATTTTAATACTGTGTACTTTTTTTCTACCTTTAATAACCAATGTATTTATTTCCAAAAAAAGGTAGCAACCCTAGTTACTTGCTACCCCACAAGTTACGATCTAATAAATCTCGCTTGGGCGTCTACCTGCACTTTCTTCTGTCCCACTCCGTCCAACCAATCGGACTATATGCCGAGAATGTCATCGCATAGGGGACTTTTTTGTAGGCCTCTCTGACTGATAGACTTAACGTGCACACAATACAACGTGACCGCTTCAGCTGTGAATATACGAAGCTCCAAATCAAAATGTTTCGAAAAACAGTTTACTGTTGATAGGACCTCTTGTGAGTCCGCGCGGGTAGGTACCGCCGGCCTGCCTATTTCTGCCGTGAAGCAGTAATGTGTTTCGTTTTGAAGGGTGGGGCAGTCGCTGTAACTATACTGAGATCTTAGATTCTTAGAACTTATATCTCAAGCGGGTGGCGCATTTACGTTGTAGCTGTCTATGGGCTCCAGTAACCACTTAACACCAGGTGGGCTGTGAGCTCGTCCACCCATCAAAGTAATAAAAAAAATGTATTTTCCCAGATAAAAATGAAGTACTATCAAAGATAGTTTTGATATATCTATTCAATAGAGGTGTTACTATTGCATTGCTGGTGCCTTTAAGGAAAACACGATCGAATACGTACCGAATCGTGGGGGTTTTCAATTTAAGGTATTTAATTAAAATGGCGACAGCATCTGTGTGTGACGATAATGTGTTCCCGTTTTTTTTTTTTTTTTTTCCTGCATGAGCTATGGTTACTAAATTAAAGTCGCGCGGTAAACTGGGGAAGCTGATTTATTTCGCATCGCGTAGATTATATAATAAATTAGGATATTCGAGTGATATATTTGGGTTTCCAGCGGGTAACTCAATAATTATTAAACACTGTAAAAATCTATTTTAAAATGACTCGAATAACAGTGTATTTAACACTAATTTACTGGTGGTTGGACCTCTTGTTTACTGGTGGTAGGAACTCTTGTTTACTGATGGTAAGACCTCGTTACTGGTGGTAGGACCTCTTGAGAGTCCGCGCGGGTAGGTATCACCGCCCTGCCTATTTCTGCCGTGAAGCAGTAATGCGTTTCGGTTTGAAGGGTGGGGCAGCCGTTATAACTATACTGAGACCTTAGAACATATATCTCAAGGTGGGTGGCGCATTTACATTGTATATGTCTATGGGCTCCAGTAACCACTTAACGCCAGGTGGGCTGTGAGCTCGTCCACCTATCTAAGCAATAAAAATAATAATTTAAACCTAGTAGAGTATTTCAATAAATTTATTTGAGACAGTGGAATGCTTTTTATCTATTTTAATACCATTACAGTTTATCTATGACCTAACTCGGTTAGTGCTGAAGATATCTGATTTTCAGTGTTCTCTCAGTATCGATTCTAATATTAATTAATAGATAATTATCGTCTGAATCCTTTTTGTAGAAGATTAGTAGAAGTATAGCAGTTTTCGATATCTATAATTTAGTTATGTACAAGGAAAATTTATTTTAATATTTGGTCATATTATAAGTTTTTCTGACGTCAAACTGTTATGTTAACTAATATTTAACTTTAATTACGTAAAACTATCTATATATTAATACGTGAAGCAAAAACTTTGTATCCCTTTTTACGAAAATTGCGCGGACGGAGGAGTATGAAATTTTCCACACTTATAGAGAATATAGAGAAGAAATGCACAATGCTAATATTTTTTTTAAATAATGTATAAAAGATACATTAAATCAATAAAGAAAACATTAAACACACTACATACCATGTATTTGACGCACACACGCATGCATACTATTTATTGTTAAACTTTTGTTCTTGATGTCTGTGGTCAAATTGAGAATAGATTAAATATTGTTTGTCTTTGTTAATATTTTTTATAGTCTTGGCGAAATTTGTGATTATAGAAGTATAAGATACAATCATAATAGTGTACAAACTTACAATTCCAATTAATTATAGTCGAATTTCGACTACTGCGGGACCTCTCGTACTATTAATTATGTGTAAATTATCACAGTTTTCATTTGTATATTCTGATTTTGGTAGGTACATTTTGTGAATCAGCGTGTTTTCACTTCCCGCAGCCTAAGGCGTGAAGATGTCACCGATGACCTCAAAACCCTTTGCATTCATTTTAATATGTGTAACTTTAGACACATGTAAATAAATTGTTATGACCTTGGCGTTAATTAAAAATAGCAACACATTGTCTCTTTAATATATACATTTATGACGCCTATTTATAAAGAATGTTGCTGTTTAGCCCTTTTCTTCGTATGGTTTGTCGAACCTACCTAACGTCGACCTAAGGGCCAGTGTTAGCAACACTCCGGTTTGAGCCCCGTGAGCTCACCTACACGTTAGGGTGAAGCTGAAATAGCCTCTCAAGGCTATCAGCACAGGAAGGAAAAAAAATGGTTTGTCAAATCTGAACTTTGCGAGAATATTATTTGATATTTTCACTATTGAGTTTGTTCAAGTCTGATTTATGAGATGTAGTTATAATTTACGATATATGCCTAATGCCTGTCTGATGTTGAATGACGTCGCCCATGGACATCACCAAGTGACAAGCCGTTTAAATTCAGATAATGACTTTTATCTACATCCTATCCTATCCTTAAATAATGTTTTATTGTTACTACAATAAAA